GGAAATATTGGTCCGAAAAAATTAGTAGGATGAGATGATTAAATAGGGCATTTGGTTCCGTTTGCGTTTATTGAATAAACATTTTGTATTTGGGTGGCTGCAAAACCAAGAAAAGTAATTAATGAGGGTGTTTATGACACATAGGCACCACATCAGCAAAATGCCAATAAACGCCTACCCGTTTCAAGAAGCCCCAAAATGAAGCTTCCTGAAACGGGAGAGGTGCAAAGAAACCGAAGTTTGCTTTTGAAAACATCAAAACATACAAATGCAATTATTGAGGCATTTGCTGATGGGGCACCGTTTACTCAATAAACGTAAACGGAACCAAACATATACTATATCTTAGGGAGCCCGGATCTGCTCCTCACATCGACCTTAGAGGCACATCTCACCATGTATCGGGAACATCTCTCATACTTACGTGTTTTTATTCATGGGAGAGGTTCCCAATACACGATGGGATGTGACTGTGAAGTTGGTGTGAGGTGTGTTATGTGAGGAGTAAATTCCAATTCTCTCTAAGGTGGGTAAATAACTTTTTCACCTAAGGGAAAGTTACCAACACTTGAATGGGACAAAAATGCCCCTTTTAATAATGGATTTTATGGCTAAAACAATCATTGTATTATTTACCTAGGAAATAAAAGAATATGGGTAAATGCAGTTACCTACCCAAGTAAGTAACTTACTGAAAAGTTGGATCAGATCTTTAAAAATAATATGATTGTGTTAGTTTTCTTATAAGTATGGTTGTAAATAAGAAGAATTGGATTTTATTCGAATCTGAATTTGATCGGGTAATAGCTGAATTTTGGATACCCCTTTGATCCTAACAAATTGGATCAAATTAGAAAAATTCAATCAATTTAGTTGATGTCATTTATTGTTTATATGTATATTTTATATATTATATATTATATATTATATATTATTCATATAAATAATACAATATATAATGTATATTATATCATCATTTTTTTAACACAATACAAAACGAATCAGATTCAAATCAGATACCCAATAAAATATTTGAATTTGAATTCAAATCATAATATTGAAATCCCACGGCTTTTTATTGGATTTGGATTGATTGGATTTCTTATCGGATCAAATTGGTTATCCGATCCATCTGCAACCCTACTTATGAGCATAAATATTCATTGAAATTAAATAGTACATGCAATTCTCTGATCTATTATTTTTCCATCCTATCTCCCTAATTTATTTCTAGGCAAAGGAGTGGGTATTAAATTATATCATAGATAAAGTTGTACAAGGTAGCATGTCCATGGTATAGTGCCTTTGATATTTAAATGAGCTAGTGTGTTCTTAGTTCTGGATATGCAAGTGAATTTTAAGTTTCTAAACTGATTTTGGAGATGTGAGATCCGCCCAAAATGCACTTGATCGATCCATGTATGGTCCATTACTATAAGGTTTAACTTCTTTACTATTACTTCAACATCCAAGAAAACTTGGTTATTTGATGACAAAACCAATGCCAGGATTGTTTGTATATTGATAATAAAACCCATTAGTGAATACTAGATAATGGTTTTCAGTTACATAATGCATTTAACTTGTCATGTCAGAGAGTGAGACATTGATCAATAATTATTTCATTTGATTTGTCCACCCAGGAGAGAGGATTCACACCCTTAATAAGATGAAACTTCTTGTTGCATATTTCCCAAATCATATATAGGCAATGTTTTTGAACCACTATTGACTTGGATGGTTGGAATGTTTGGCTTGCGAACCATCCAGGCAATTGGTTCCATTTTACTTAAACCCGGTCCTCAATAAAAAACCATTGAATTGGTTAATGATTCATTGACCCAGCGGTTGAATTGTCAACCCGTTCAACGATTTTTGGTTGTTTTTTTATTTTAATTATTTTTTTAAACTTTTTTATTTTTTTGTCAAAAATGGGCTATCCATTCGAATTAGGTGGTTGAACCATCGACACAAAAACTAGTGACTAGTTGGTTGTCACCTTGTAAGTCTTTTCTAATTTAAAAGGGTTTGACCATGATATTAGAAAAGAGCCAATCAACCGATGTAGTGACCAATTAAGGGGATGTTTGGAAGCGTGGCCGTTTTTTTCTGAAAAACGGCACCACATCAGATCCACGTAGGCGATTCAACAAATACCCACATGCATCATTGTTTGGTTCAAGTGTTTTTTGAAAAAACGTGCATGCCTCATAAATCGGGACCCAGTTGTTGCATGAAACGCTAGTGCTTCGGTGAACTGTTGCCCCCAACGGTTGACTGATATGGCAAATACCTGTATCCTATGTGGCGCTTACCTGTTAGATGAGTTGTCACTAGTGGGAATGTTCTGGTGCTTCTTAGCCCACCAAAACATTTAACATCTACTCGTTTCCTTCGTCACTGTCGTCGCTGGAGAGGGTGGTCACTTGAGCCACGTAACTTGCCATCAGTCTTAATTCTGGACGATCAGAAGCATTTAGGGGATGTTTGGAAGAAATTAAGCTTATTTGGTAGAAAGATTGAAGTCATATTCAAAAGAAAATAAAAATAAAAGGGAGGAACATATATTAGTTACCAAATAGAGAAATATCTTGGTCTTGAAAGGCTGGGACTTGTCCGAAGGGCTGTTGTAGAGAAGAAGGTTCAGAATGGAACTAAAATATATAGGGGACTTGTCTTGAAAGGCTGAGACTTATTCGCCCTTAGACATGTTAACACTGATGAGCTGAAACTGAACTTCTTTTTCGAGGAGACATGCTAAGACCCTTGAAATGGTAGTGGACATGGGTGATCCATATACTTTCATAGGCATCGCCATTACATGTTTTATAACGGCCATCAGTAGCTTCCTCTCTCGTTCCTGTGTATCAATGTATGTATTTCCAGCCTTCCAAGCTAAAAGAAGAGATGGGACTTCATCCTTAGGTCAGAGAGGGTGGTTGCTTCAGCCATGTAACTTGCCATCAGCCTTAAATCTGGACGATCAGAAGCATTTAGGGGATGTTTGGTTACAAATTACTGTAGACTTAGCCCAGTAGGCAACGAAACATATTTTCTTCTTCATTCTTCCCACTAGTCACCACTGTACTTTTCTTCTTTGGGTGGGAAGTGATTTACTAAGGGTGTTTAGACCTAAAACATATAGCAAGAAGGTGAATTGAGAACCTTCGTATATTAGGGATGTAATTAGAAGCATTTAGGTGAATTGGATCACGCACAACCGTTGGATATGATGCCATTATTCATGCTATGTTGTTAATCTATTTCAACGACATTTTCAACCATTGGATTTAAAATTTTACGCCAAATATTATAAAACAATCATCCAATTAATCTAGACCATTTGATAAGCATAGTTATATATTTTGGTATGATATTAGCACACATCATCTTACAGGGTAATGTGTGCACACACATGAAAAACGGTGATGAAAATCACCTTACCAAACAGAATAGTGCTTCTCATTGCCTACGTGGCAAAAATACTCCCAAACAAAATCAAGGCGTTTTTTTGTGAAGATGGGTCTTGGAAGCATGGGTGTTTTTTCTTGAAAATCAGTCCCAAAAACGCCACACTTCCAAACACCACCTAAGTATTCATCCAAACTCACCGGGTGCTAATTAGTCAAAGCTCTTCCCATGTCATGTATTTTTGATATCATATATGCCTGTGCACGTTCAAGAGCCTCATTGACAATAGAGTCTCCCTACCAAGGTTTTAAAAATCGGATTGGACACGAAACCGTTTTAGCCACCGGTTTCGGGTTGAATAGTCTGATTTTCTAGTTCGAATAGACAACCCATTTTAATTTAAAAGTAAATAAATATAAAACGACCAAAAAACCGTTGTCTAGGTCGATAAGTCGATGGTTTGACCAGCCGAATCAATGGGTCGCTGACCAAATTAACGGTTTTGGCCAAGAAGCAATTTTAGGGTGAAATAGAATTGGTTACTTGATCGGTTCCCTATCAATCGGTCCGACCATCTGGTATGGTCCGGTTTTCAAAACCATACTCCCTACATCACCAATTAGTTCACCTAAGAATTAATTCATACAACTAGGGGTGTAAACAGATCGATATCCGATGGATATTGAAAATTAATATCCGAATTCGAATTTGATTAAATATTCGAATATCGATTTGATTTGAATTCGACCAATTAATTATTTTAGGTAATTAATAAATATATAAAATAAATATTTTATTTATATAAAGTATATAAATATATAAACTATTTATATAATTTAATTGTTATATATAAATTATATAAAACATTTAAACATATTTAAATATTTTTATATATTATATATAAGAATTAAATAATCAGTTGAATTTGGATATTTATCCAATCGAATTATGTCATATCCAAATTGGATTCAATTATGCCAAATCTCTAATTCGAAATCGGATTTTAGAATAGCATTGACACCCTACATCCAACATCGATATGAACCATGAAACGATAAACGGTGCAGGCTATTGAAGACAGCCAATGGACAGCACAGGCTATTGAAGATAGATGGCCAAGCTTTTTTCCATTGCAAAAGAAATTGTAAACTAACATCTCATGCGGCAGGAACTCTGTTGACAGCCTAGGTTGTCCAATTTTGAACAGCGAAAATATTTCCTGATATTGGACATTAATACATCGCCACTGTAGAGTGATGTAGCAGCACACATAATCAATTTGGGGTACATAATTTGCCACGTTTTAAATTCCTTGTCCACCTCACCTCATGCAAAAACTAGACATAGATACCAATTGAAATTTGACCAATCAGAGCCCCTGTGGATTTTGATGAATGCCAGCTGATTGGTCAATCACATTCTGATACCCAGTTGTTTTGAGCTTTTTCGGCATGACACCTTATCTCACTCAGTCCTTATTGGTCTTTTCAACTAAAACATTTGGTTAAAATTACTCTTTTACTCATATCTTGACGTGTCATATATAAGAAGGACTGCCTGTAACAAACAGCCAAGTCTTTCCCTTTCCCACGAGGCCACGAGGGTGAAGCTCCATATACCAACTCCAAGGGCCCAATCAACGAACTCGCGCCCTTAGTCCCACTCTCTCTCTCTCGCTCGCTCGCTCTCTGGGATTAGGAATTCCCTCGAACAGAGGCTAAAATACACAGACGAGAGAAGAAGCGTTAAGAAAAAAACCCTAAAATACACAGACAGAGAAACAAAATCCTTTTTCTTTTGTTCTTATATCTCTTCGCTTCACTTCGTGCTCTTCTTTTTCCTGTGTTTTCTGTTTTTGTTTTTAGTTTTATCTTACAGGGACGGAAAAGAGAACGAACCAACGAGTTGTCCGGTGTTTGGTCTAGTGTTGGAGCTCTATTGGTTGCTCTTCTGAGTGTCTTTTATGTGGGTTTTGATTCGTATTCTCTAATGGTTGGTTTTCTGCTCTGAAATTAGGGTTTCACTTCTTTATCTCAAGGAATTGACGATATTCGAGCGCTTGTAGTCAGCGGAGCTATTAATACTGTGAGCTCTCCCTCTCAATCATTTCTCTCTATATGTCTTTTACCACTTGATGAATGGCTTCCACTCCCTCTAACTCTCCCTTTCTCCATATATTTGTGTGTGGATCTTGGAGCATTGAAGCTTGCAATGCGTAAAGTAGGTCTTCTCTTTTAGGTTGAACTTGCTTTGCTTTTATAGTTTGTTATTATTTTCCGGGCTTCACCTTGTTGTAGGAACTGAGTTTTCTTTCATTTTTTTTTATACCGAAATTTCCATCTAGGTTCGTAAAGGTTGCACGTTTCTTAGAATTTATATATATTAATTTCTACTTTACTTTTATTGGTTCTTGCATTTTATGTCTCTTGTTTATATTACGAGATTTTTCTCTGAGGGCTCAATTTTGAATATCATACTCGTTAATGGATTTTTTTTTTCTTTCCCTGTTTTTCTTTTCCTCTTTCCTCGCTCGCAACCTTTTCCTTTGAGTAATGAGGGCTGACTATCCTCCGATACTGCAATTTACATTAGGTTCAATATACAATTTTGATTTGTTAATATTCCCTTTTTGCATTTTTTTCTTGTTAGCTGGCATGAAATTCGGTTCAATTTGTTTTCTCACTGTTCTATTGAGATCCATTGTTTGAATGCAACTGACGATTCTTCTGTTCAAGGAGGTGATTTTTAATAGTTTCTTTGACGATCATGTTTTAGTGCTGTTAGATTCACTCTTAATTGGTCTAATTATTAGGGTTGTGAAGACGATTGGTTGACTAGGCAACTGGGAAAGATGTCGACAGAGTATCCTGTACTTGATAATAGGCCAATTGATCAATGGAAGGTAGCAGAACTAAAAGAAGAGCTTAAGAGACGGAAAATTACAACAAAGGGGTTGAAGGATGACTTGATAAGGCGCTTGGGTGAAGCGATACGGAATGAGGGAGAATCTGTAAAGGAAGAAGTTGTTAATGGTCTAAGTTGTGACCCTGAACCTGAGTTTAAGTTTGAAGAGAAGGTTGCAAAGCCAAATGATACTCAAGTTGTTGAAGAGAGTCAGGATGATGGTAAAAATAAAACCTTAGAGGCAGAAAATGATGTTTCTGAGGTTGGTATTGATGATGGTGCTGCTGAGATGGTCCAAGAGAAATCTGAAACCGAGTCACTGAGTAAGTCTGATTCTGTTGCGGCAGTTCATGAACCGGCAATTGTTACAGTATCTGAGGAAGATAGTGTCACAGTCAGTCAGATTGTGGAAACCCAATTAGCATCCAACCATCAGGAGCCACAGAACATTGAAATCCAGATAGAGAGCGGGGTTTCAAATCCTCCCCATGAAGATGCAGTGCCCAACATGTCCGGTCCAAACAATCAGGTATCTGAGGTCAGCCCTGTTTTAGGGTCTCAAGTAAAGTCTGAGTCTATTTCTACTGATTCTGTGTCAATTATTCAAAAGAATGAACTAAAGGATAATTTGAATACTGGTAATTTCCCTTTAGAACTGGAAGTTGTTAAGCCGGAGATGGTGCAACCATCATCCAGTGATGTTCATCCTACAGGTGGCGATCTACATCCACTGGGTGACCAAGAGCCATGTGAGAACCGGGGCCCTATTGAAGATATTGATGATACCAATGCTCCAAATCTGGACCTTGGGAAGAAAAATGATGGTGCAGATGCGGGGTCCTCAGAAAAATTAAATTTAGAACGAAGTTCAGGTGGTGATTCTATGGAGGATGATACATTGGAAAGTAAGCAAATTGATTCAAATCAAAATTCTGATGGCGTGGGAGATAGGAATGAGCTAACTGTAAACGAGGAAAATGTAATTGATGTTGTGGGTGCTGGTTTCTCTTCTGAGAAGAAGGAAAGTCCTGCTGAAAATAAAATTGCTTCTGCTGTGCCTGGTGAAAAAAGAAAAGTTGAAGGTACACTTCTTTAAATGCTTCTTCTCTCTTCATTGCAATTAAAGTTTAAAACATGCATGACTTCCCTTTTATGTGCTTTGTTTCATTCAGGATACCCTTTCCCTCTTTTGCTGATTTCTTTTTCAAATGGTTCTTTTATAGCCGTTGTGCACTATCTTTTGTTTATGGTATTTGGACTTCTCTATTTGGACCAACACTGCATGATGCCTTTTTTTATTTGAACTCTTATAATTATTATGAAGTTAGTAATAAATAAGTTTCTGCTAGCGGAGTAGATTTATCTGCTTTATCATCTTACTTTCTATATACTACCAACATGTTTTTTTGGGTGATTTGAGGTCTCAACCATCTCATGTTCAATTGCTCATAAAAATGTTGGACTCCTGTTTTTATGGGTGTTACCTGCAATTGGCTATTTGTTCCTTTTCTCCATCTGCACTGGATGATGCAAGTGCATGCATAAACCATTTTGGGTGTCTTTATGTGCATTGGTAGGCCTACCTTTTCTTTTCTTTTTTTAAGGAGCTAGGCCAGCATCCCTAGTATTTATATTTTAGCATTGGAAGTGTGATTTTAGGAGCATTTAATGCATGATTGTGATCTTTGTTGCACTGTTCTCAGCTCAACTTTGGTTGCTTTGAAAAAAAGCTAATTCTGACACTTAACTGGCTCAAGACATGAAACAATAATATTATAGGGTCTGTTTGGTTCACAGGAATAGGTGCCTAGAATTGGAATTGAAATGGCCCATTCTGATTCCAACGGTTGAATGGTTGATTAGAATGGGATTCCCCCATTTGGGGGAATGGCCATTCCACCCCTTCCCTGGGAGTGTGATTCCCATTCCGCCTCCTTTTTTTTTGACAAAAAAAATCCATTTCGACCCAAAGCCCTACTCGACCCCAAGTCCTCATCATCTCACAGGCCTTTCTCCATCCAAGTTAGCTATCGATGACCACCATCTCCGGCGAGGCAAGATACCAGTCGCCTTTCTCCTGTATCTCCTCTATCTTCCTATTCTTCCTCTTTTCTCCCCTCTTCTCTCTCCCTCTTCCTCCTGCCCTCTACGTCACCGCTGCTAATAATGCTGAAGGCCAGTATTTGCAGATCCTCTTCTTCCTCCCCTCTCCTTTCTTATTTCTTGCCTCTTCTTCCATATCTCTGCCCAGCCGAACAGAGCTTGGATCTGCCCTTTTTTTCTTCCAAATCTCCTGCTGCCATCGTGACAGCAGCCGAACAGAGCTTGGAATCTGCCCCTCTTCTCTCTTCCCTCCACCTCCTCTTTCCAGTTGAAACGAATATCAACAATTGGAATCCAATCCTGGTTCTTGTCTGAACCAAACAAGCGTTGGGAATAGATTATGGTTCCAATTCCTGGGGATTCTGATTCCGGTTCTAATCCTGACCACAAACCAAACAGTCCCTTAATTTATATCCAGATACATATTATTTGGATTAGTGATTGGTGTGAAATTTCTTATTCAATCTCTTTGATGATGCTCTGGGTGCTGAAGATGCAGAAAGTTGGTATTGATTTTGAACTCCAACTATGCTTTTGCAATGCATCTATATGATTGCTGAAAGGTTACAATTTAACTTGTTTGTTTATTTAGGATCCTACTTTTGATATTATGGATATGAGATTTGTAATTCATGTTGATAGTTCATGTTATAGATGGACGGTTGGACCTGATCCTAATAATTGTACATTGCCTACATTTTGATAATTAGTATTGCTTTTGAGTTTTTGAAATTTAACCTGTTGCTGGTTAGTGAAAAAATCAACCTGTTGCTTAACACAAATTTAACTTGTACAATGTTGTAAGTGTTAACTGAATTTGTCTTTTTGAATCCTTAAGTATTGTTACAAGTGCAACATTGCTTAGAGGTAGTCAAACTCAACCAAACAGAATTGACCAAGGTATTGTTGATTCAATTATTAGGATGTTGAATAGCATGTGCCAGTTTGCCTTCCTGGTAAAGTCTCTATACATGATGCAGTAGCAGTACACTCCTTGCTATCTTTCTTGACTATTAATACTGGCTAATTACTTATAACAGAAAATGCTGTTGATATTATTCAAGCCATGAATTGATATTGAAGTAATAGGTCCCTCTCAAGAGTGATTTTAGTGATAGATGAATTGAAGTTTAAACTTTACTTCATGTATTTGGTCCCATCTTATTGTTGTCGGTACAGGCAATATATTTTGTAATCCAATTCTTGCCGTTCTGATTACAAATTATTTTATCCAATGGTTTTGTAGCATTGTTTGCTTAAAGCCAGAAGTTGACCATGATATTCTGCTTTTTGTAAATCTTGTTCATTTATTGTTTTCATTTGTTAGTTTTGTTATGCCTATTTGCCTAGGGATTTAGATATGCTTGTTTGATGACCATGCAAAGTTAAAAGATGCATTTGATAAAGTTTCTCAGTGGCCAATTAGGCGATTTTATGGTTGCCTCTTCTTTTCTTGGGAGTCCAATTGCCCCTCCTCTCCCCAGGCTTTTGGGGCATTGAATTCTCACCTATGTTTGTGTTACTCAATTAGACCATCTATGCCTGGACAGAAAGACCTTATGAAGCTTTACTGTTCTCTGATATTGGCTTTGGGGTAGATGAAGATGGGCTCCTTTGGGATTGAGGGGGGAGTGCCATCAACGAGATTCCACTTTGGAACTGAAGAGCTAGAATTCTAATGTTGTGTCAGACCCTTTTAGTTACTTCCTATTTTTCCAAGATGAGAGAGTATGGGCCTAAATTTCCAGTTAGTGATGGTAGCATGTCACAGTATGGGTGACTGGGATATTCCTCTTCATTTAGTTTTCCATCTGTTGCATTGAAGCATTTTCCCATCCAATATTTGGTGCATTATTATCAACAACATTATCATGATTATTATTCGTGTTGGTTATCTTTTGTTCTTTGTTGCTCTTCCATGAAGGTGCAGTTTGATTATTTTTGTATCATGGATGTATGTCTAGATGTTCATTACTCCATGCCTCTCTTGGTGTAACCTCTTAATTAGAATGATAATATATGTCCTGAAAAATGCTAGCACTTGGTAGATTTGATTTAACACACCACGGGTGTGTATCCTTTTCCTTTATGGGTAGTTTCTTTTTATTTGAGCGCTCAACTTGATAAAGCCTTCTTCTCCCAACTCTCTGTGGGGCCTTACTATGGGATCAGCTATATGAATCTTCTTTCACTATTCCACTCTATGTGGGATCATATCTATGGTTAACCAAGAACCATTAAATCATTTTTCACTACCTCAATTCATGATTTTTTTTGCCTGCCCTTCTTCTGGTCCCTTCAACTTGCATCAGATGCATATATATCTATGGTTAACCATTGACCTTCTAATCCTGTGCTTATAGTTTAACCACTCATCCATCCCTTTTTATTAGAATTAGGGCTGTTCATGGGTCGGGTTGGGTCGGTTTACTAGTGTTTTTTCAACCGACCTGACCTGGTCGGGTTACCTATAGATCAAACTGAAACCGACCCTCTATTAAGTAAAACCGACCTGGTTGGTTTCAGTCGGTTTGGGTTTCAACCAACTCCAAGCTTGCACAATGCACATGAAGTCAAAGTGCTAATATTATATATAATATTTTAAAATATATATTTAAAACCAAAACATATATACAAATATATCAAAACGTATATTTTCTAATTTCTGGAAATATATATCTGATATATTTCAGAATATATATTTTTTCAGATATATATTTATTATTTAAAACTAAAATAGCTATATTTAACAGATTTTTTCAGAATATATATATTTTTCACATAACTCGGTTCGGTTTTCACATATGAAAACAGAAACCGAACCGAATTATTGGTTTGTTTATCTTTGCAACCCGAAACAGACCGGTAGTGAAGAAAAACCGGCCAACTCGGGTTGAGTCGGGCCGGGTTGGTCGGTTTAGATTTATTTGTGAACAGCCCTAATTAGAATGACATTTCATATTCCACAATTGTATAGTAGGCATTAAACAAAATGACAAGTATCAAAAAGAACCATTACTAAATGAATACTAGTTATTATCAACAATCACAACCAGCAAAATTGACAGTTACACCGTAACTAATATTAATATTGCACTGGTTATTATTCCCTACTAGAATTATATTGGTGATCCTTTTGTCGGCATTGTACCTTTTTGTTCAAGACCCTTGAACTTAGATACACTGGAATAATAAAATTAAGTGCAATTATGATTCTGATTATGAAACTTGTGCTATTCTATCGGGAAAGCTCATTTCTCATCTTCATGGGATTGTACGATCTGTAACAGATAAAGATGTAGGGAACAATGAGCCTCCAAAGAGGCAGCGTCGATGGAACTCTGAAAGCATCAAAGTTCCTGAAGTGCAAACTTCTAATCTCACCTCCTCATCTACAACACCTAAAGATGCTTTACAGCCCACCATTCCCAAGCGCAACTTCATCAGGTCTGACTCAACACTTAGTGAAGAGGCATCAAAGGAACGAGTTGGTATGATGCTGTTTGCTTGTTGTATATTCAGTGTTTACATAGTAAAAAAAAAGGTTTCATGCATCTGAATAGGGTTGTTATTCCTTCATGTTGGCAGTTCCACCATCGCCAAAGCCCCCAACTACTTCCCTCCGAATTGACCGTTTTCTTCGTCCATTTACACTAAGGGCAGCTCAGGAGCTTCTTGCAAAAACTGGAAATGTATGCAGCTTCTGGATGGACCATATCAAGACTCATTGTTATGTGACGGTATAGTTTATATCTTCTGTTTGATGGTGATATTTCTTTTGTAAATGTGTATCAAGGTTATTCTACCTTTTGGATTGAAGTAATTTATAACTAAATGTTTGATGCATGTTCGGTGCCTTGCAGTATTCCTCGGTGGAAGAAGCCATAGAAACACGAAATGCTTTGTACAATCTGCAATGGCCTTCAAATGGAGGGCGCCTTTTGGTGGCAGAATTTGTCGATCCCCAAGAAGTGAAAATGCGGGTTGAAGCTCCTCCAGAGTCTCCAGCAGCTTCTGCCAGCACCAACGCAACGGCACCCACTTCTCCAACACTTCAGCCCCAGCCATCCCCTCACCAACAGAATCTGCGACGACAACTTCCTCCCCCTCCTCTCCCACCACCACCCCCAATAACCGACCCGTCCACAATACGGGAACGTCTCCCTCTTCCACCCCCACCACCGCTTCCAAAGAAGCCAGACCCACCTATAGTTACCCTTGACGATCTCTTCAGGAAAACAAGAGCGACCCCTAGGATATACTACCTACCATTGTCTGAAGAACAGGTTGCTGCAAAAGTTGCTGCTCGCAAGAATGCTAAGTAGGGATGATAGCATTATGCCATTCTTGTATTTGGCCAATGGGATATTAGTCTTCTCTTATGTAATATAGTACGGTGATACATTTTATTAGTAAAGCCTTTGCCAGGTCTAAAGTCTGACCAGGACAGGTTGTGCGGCAAGGGATGAGTGAGATTTTCAGTTTTGAACGCTGACATGGGTTGCCTCCTGATAAATGATTACCTTTTCCCCGTCAAATATCGCTTCGATGCACTTATGGTTCCATTCCGTTGTTTCATTATGTTGAATGGTTTAACTTCAACCATATCATGAAGTGAAAAGAAAAATGCGGGTTTCTAAGTACTGGTATCACAAGAGCTTGAAAAGGCATTTTTAGTTTCTATTTTTTAAGAGTTGCTTTGAGACCAAGGTTCAATATTTTGTCACATATCAGCCCGTGTCGGCTGATATATTCGTATTGGAAATCTCCTGATACACCTTTACAGGGGTGGTGTTATTGGGTTTAACCCAGTTCAGGGGTTAGAAGGGCCTTAGACTGACCCCTCTAAGTCAGGTTCACAAAAAAGACAGAAAAATGGGGAGCGAGGGCCGATATGTCCATACCGGTGGATCGGGTTGTACGAACTTTGTTGGAGATAAGGTTTTAAAAGGCTAAAGTTGAAGGTGAGGTGGTTGTGTCTCATAGGGGTGAGGCATGAGCCTAAAAGCGTTGTGAGGTGTATAGTCTTGAGGAAAAATGAGAAGGATATAATCCATAAACAATAACGTGAGGCGGCTGTGTAAGCCTAAAAGACGTCTTGAGGCACATGGATTCGTGGTTCAAAGTATTTATACACCCCAATATGCAGAAAGGGATGTATTGATGATCTACACTCTGAATCATGCATAATTTTTTTAAGTTTTTACTTTTAATTTTCCAAGGTCAGTTTTATATTATCTAATTTTAAAAAGATTAAAAAAACACCTTAAAAGGGGGTATTGGTACCCCAAATATATAGTACAACTTGACTTAGAATCTTACCAAAGTAGTTTTCTTTTTTTCCTTTAATTTAGGGATATGAACCAACATTGTTTTAAGAACAAGGCATTCTTATTTTGTTGTTGCACTAATATGCATTAGTGAAGAGTATATATATATGATGCATGTGATTTAGAAGAAATAAAATATAAAGTCTAAGATAAATGAGAAAATGAGAATTATAAAAAACAATAATAAATGGGCAATGAGGTGACCTTTGTTCGAGCTGAACAATGGGGCGCAACTTGGGAGGGTTCGGATTGGGCTCTTGTCAAAATTTGAGTGGGTCTGGCCCAAAGCCCAAGCTTGAAGTAATGTGAAATGCTAACTTGAGCCAACCTTACCCATAATTGGTGAAGGTCTTGAAAGGCAGATACAATCCTATATGTGTGTGTGTGTGTGTGTGTGTTATTTCTTTATTTATAAATATGTTTATATTGCATTTTTTGTAAATTTGTATATTTTTATTTTTTATAAAATCACATGCATTTTTAAAGAAAATACTTGTATTTTTTGTTTTTTTTCTTTATATAAACTGTTATATTTTTAAATATTTAATAAATTAAATTGGATATGATCATATTCGGATATTCAACATTATTAGCGGATTTGAATTTGAATTTATATTTGTGTGATCCGATCAGATCTTTGGATCAAATCAGATCTCGGATGTTTGTATTGTTGGATCGGATTTAGACATTTAATGTGCTATCATTTGACACTAATGAATGACCCCATACTAACTACGGGGAACGGGGGAAGTTAATTATATATATACTACAATCCAATGCAAAATTCTGATTTAAAACACATAATTTCAGCAAATAATTTTAACATTATTTGCTGCCAATGAACATAATAATTATTAACTTCCCCGTACTAAGTAATGTTAATTATGATTAACATTATGTGTATAATTATAAATTAATTATTATGAATATAAAAGAATTATTATTATTTTTGTTATTAATTAGTAGTATTTAATTTAATTGGGTTTGATAATAATAGGTAAATATCATTAATTTATTTTTATCTTTTGGAAAACTGAATAAGAGAAAATAAAAAGGTTAGTATTGAAAATGAAAAATTATTTGGATTTTTGCAAAAAAAAATATTTACTCAACATAAAAAACCAATTATTCAAAGATAAGGTCGTTAACCAAAGAGTACTTAAAAATATTGTGTAAGTAATAATTTTAAGAAATTAAATTTATTAATTAATAATCTATTTGAATTGAAATGGGTAGTTTCAACAAAGATTTTTAACTAATAAAAATTTGCTATTTAATTATTATTATTATTATCATTATTATTATTATTATTATTATTATTATTATTATTATTATTATTATTATTATTATTATTATTATCATTATCATTCTTTCTATTAAGTAAATAATGTTATAATTAAGATTTTTAGTTAATTCATGAAAAAATAATTGCTGTAATAATTCTTTTAGTTTAATAATATTAAAGAATTCAAAGTTTTATAGTTGAACTTTCACTACATGAAATATTGATCAAAGAATAATAATAGCATTAATTATAACTACTTATAATAATAATGTAAATAATTAACACTAAATATATATATATTTATATTGATATGAATTAACTAACCTGATAGAACTAGTTTCTCTAAGATTGCAAGCTTGTATGAGTTGCAGACACAAAGAAGTTTAGAGAAGTTCAGGAATGACATTTGTTTAAGCAAAAAAAAATGTCTAATTTTTATTATTATTTCTTTATTTTTTGAAAGATTATTTGTATTGTAATGTTTAATTATTATTATTATTATTATTATTATTAGTAGTAGTAGTAGTAGTAGTAGTAGTAGTAGTAGTAGTAGTAGTAGTAGTATTAAGTATTTAACTAGTGATTTTAAAATACTTTATTTGATGTCGAGTATCCAATGATACTCTACTCCTAATTTACGATATGAATTCAGAAAATGCACATAAAATAAAAAATTATTATTAATTAGTAATTAACAATGATTATTATTAGTAATTAATAGATGTACTTAATTAATTAGAAGTAGATTATTATTAATAATCAATAGCTGGAATTAATTAATTAGTTTAGTAGTTAACAGTAGTTTCCTTTTTTTTAAGAAAGGATTGAAAGTGGGAGCATCCCAATTCTCACAACTCTACATGGTGGTGGGTTCCACTCTGCATGTTAGTGAGCTCTTTTCTTGAACTACCACTAATCAGAATTTGACACATGCCTAGTGGGCACTGTTCTTGAACTACCACTAATCAGAATTTGACATGTGTTCATTTTGTTTAAATCTTTAGAATGACAGGTGTCTAGATAGAGGAGAACCACATGTCTGAATGGGGGAGGCTTTGGCCTGAAATCATTCCTTTAATATATATATATATATATATATATATATTAGATATAGGATCAGGAAATTAGTTCATTCCTTTGCTAATATTTCTCTAATAACAATTTTCTTTATCGAATTCAACTTTGCCCTCCTCAAATTTGCTTTGATAGAAGTATCTACATACAAGTTCATCAATCTTATTAGCTTCCTGCTTCACGGTAAACCTCCATACTTAAGTTTTCATCAGCCTCGTCGACGGAAATGTTGCTCTCCGAGGCATTTCTTTGTTGCTACCCTGCTTCTCTCTATCCCTTCCTTTTTTTCTACTTCTCTTACCTGACTCTCACCTCCCAAAAAAAAAAGGTTGGCATGTCCTAGCCACCTGAATATCTCGATCTACAAGCTCCTCTATCATCCTTGAACTCATTAGTCTCCCTTCTTTTGGGGTTGANGAATTAAAACTATTTGCAAACATTTTGAACCCGTACATATATATATATATATATATATATATATGTATATATAAATTTCATAACTAAAATTTATCGATAACATTTCATTAGAAAATTTATTTCAGTGTAATTGAATATATTTTTCCAACATTGACATTAATTTTGATATTTTCAGTAATTTTGGTCAATTTATTAAAAAAGCACTTTTGCTAATTTATTGTAGGGCGACCTTATCTTTGAATAATTGGTTTTTTATGTTCAATAAACATTGTTTTTTGCAAAAATCCAAATAAATTTTCATTTTCAATACTAACCATTTTATTTTTCTCTTATTGATTTTTCCAAAAGATAAAAATAAATTAATGATACTTACCTATTATTATCAAACTCGATTAAATTAAATACTGATAATTAATAACAAAAATAATAATAATTCTTTTATATTCATAATAATCAATTTATAATTATACACGTAAAGTTAATCATAATTAACATTAGTTAGTACAGGGAAGTTAATAATTATTATTTCCATTGATAGCAAATAATGTTAAAATTATTTGCTGAATTTATCGGTTTTAAATCAGAATTTTGCATTGGATTGCAGTGTGTATGTGTGTGTATATATATATATATATAATTTATTATTGAAAATAATAATATTATCAGTAATATTATAAATTTAGACTTATTGCAACAAATATTCAGTATTATAATATTATAATTTAATAAATCAGTATAATAATTAATATTATTATTAATAAAAATAAATATAAAATGTAAATATGCAATAATCATTACTTATTTTAAATGTTTATAAATATTGAAATTTTGGTTAATGAAATTACTGTTGATTAATTCAAATTGACAGTATTTTGATAAATATAGTTAATATTTATGATAATTATCTGTAATCTAATAAATTACTATAAATACAATTAAATTAATGTATTTATTAATTAACAATAATATAATTAACAGTAATTAATTTTAATGGATAATAACACTATTATTCATTATTATTACTAATAATAATAATATTAATAATTAACTTTACTTATATATTTATGAATATTAAATGACTATAGCCAAATTAATAATTACAATTATTAATGTCATTATTAATTATCAGTCCGATGAAGAGGGTGCAGCTCACCAAGATGAATGAGGTTCTATACGGCTGCTTTGTTGAAGTAACCTGAAAAGGGTGGAGGTCACCGTGAGTGCTGCGGGAGTCTTCAACTTCAATTACATCGCCAACCAAGATGAATGAGCAGAAAAGTTTTGACAGACGTTGAATGAGCAGCAAGTTTTTGTTTTTGTTAGATTGAATCTTTAAGTTGCAGAGTTCTATGGGTTGTATATTTCTCAGAGTTGGAGACGTGTCTGAGATGCAAACATTGAAATGCATCTTATTCTCCTGTTTTTTAGGAACCGGTAGAGAGTGGTTGTGGGCTGTGT